CAACTCTACAGAAAGTATTGCAGGATATTCTAAAAAAAAGAAAAATACAAAGAACCCAGAAATAGTGGCGGGGAGGCCACAATGAATGGAGCAGAGAACAAAATGAAGAAGACAAACTTACAGCTACTGACAGAAAAAGAGCTCAACAGAAATGAGGCAGAGAAGATTAGATGATAGGAACAGCCATTTTGGAGAAAATGACATCTTAATAGGTAATACTGATTTAGTATCATCTTGTTTTGAAGTCTCATCTAGCTTTTGCTCTTCTGTCTCCAATGGTCTAAATAGGTTGTATCTTATTGGATTTTACTATGCATGATAGTATAAGCAAAAACCTTTTAAAGACAAGGAGATTATACAGAAACCATTGTTCATTTTCTGTTAGTCGATTCTAAATATTCTGTAATGCTGTCATTCTCTTAAATGGTTTTACATTGTTTTGATATACTTAATGCTACAGTATATGAAGTTATACTCAAGGACTTCAAGGAAAGAGTCAATATGGTAACTACTTTTGGGTCGGAATTATCTGGTGGTGAAACACTATTCTGCTTAAATGGTTATGTTTTGATCTGCGCTGTTTCGCTGTTATGCCCTCTTTTATCCCAATCTCCACTCCATTATTTACTTTTTTATTTTTTCCGTTTAATTAAAGGGAAAAAATAGCAGGATATATTATAGTAACCCACTTTGACTTTCTATTATCTCGATTTGAAGCCCTGTATTACTCTCACCATCTTGTTTTTGACTGATGTTCCCCTATTCTGTTTTGCTGGATAGTATCAGGTTCGAAAGTTTAGGCATCAGCTGTGAAGATAATGAGATTCATAATGATATAATAATATCATTATATCATAATGATATAATATCATTATATCATAATGATATAATATCATAATGATATAATAATATCGTTATAATAACGCCCATTCTCGTTGACTTTTATCTACTTTTGAACACCTACAATGTCTCCAATGGTTTGGTTTTGTCGGTTTTGTTCTTTACTGTTTTGTTCAATTGTATTATAACTAATGATATAGGCAATTCTATTAGAGATAGCGGGAGGCATTATGGTAACCACTGTTGATCACCTTGTATTATGTTTTTACATTATCTATTATGTCCACCCTTTTGACTTGACCGATTCTGTTCTGTTATGTCACATTTGGTTTTACTCTCTTCCAAAAAAGCAATAAGAACTGTGGGAGCAATGAAACCCAAAATGTGTAATAGTCATTGTACAAAAGAGAGGAAAAGAAAGTGCTCTAAACTACATAACTGCATGTATATTTAAGTGTATAAGATAAAAAATGATATCACAGAGTTTTATTGGATCATTGAACAGAACTGTTTGCAGTATCATTGTTGGAATGTCCACTCTACAAGCTTTAATTCTGTGACTTGAACAATTATTTCTAAGATGGCAATATGTAATCCATTAACTAGTGATTTCCTACTGTTCATTTTTTTTCTGTAAATCTGTATAACTTGTACCCTTTCACTGTTTTTTTTTCTTTTCTCCTTAAATAAAATTTAAAAAAATAAATAAAAAATAAATAAAATAAATAAAAACAAATGAAAATACAAATGCAACTTACCGGAATCTGTGGGATGCAATGAAAGCTGTCCTCAGAGGAAAATATATTGCACTGAGTTCCCACATCAGGAAAACAGAACGAATACAAATAAATAACCTGATGTTACACCTCAAACATCTAGAAAAAGAAGAGCAAGTCAAGCCCAAAGACAAAAGAAGGAAAAAAATTATAAAAATCAAAGCAGAAATCAATGCAATAGAGACTAAAAAAACAATCCAAAAAATGAACAAATCAAACACTTGGTTTTTTGAAAGAATAAATAAAATCGGCAAGCCCCTAGCCAACCTTATTTTAAAAAGGGAAGAAAAAGCTCAAATTCATGCAATAAGGAATGAAAGAGGCAAAATTACTGCAGACCCTATAGAAATACAGAAGATCATAAACACCTATTTCGAAAACCTCTCCTCTCAAAGGTTTGATAACACAAAGGAAATAGATTGCTAGGAGCATACGAAGTACGAAAGCTAGGTCAAGAAGATGTAAAACTACTGAATAACCCAATTTCTATTATGAAATTGAAAATGTAATTAAATCTTTACCTACAAAGAAGAGCCCAGGCCCAGACAGATTCACAGCAGAATTCAGAAATACAAAGAAGACCTAATGCCAACACTCCTCAAACTCTTCAATGAAATTGAAAGGGAAGCAATCCTTCCTAAGTCATTCCTGGAAGCAAATATTTCTCTAGTACCAAAACCTGAGAAAGACCCAACTGAAAAAGAGAACTACAGACCAATCTCCCTAATGAACACAGATGCAAAAATCCTCAATAAAATATTGGCAAATAAGATGCAGCAAATCATCAAGAAGATCATACACCATGACCAAGTGGGATTTATCCCAGGCATGCAGGGATAGTTCAATATACGTAAATTAATAAATGTAATACACCATATCAATAGAGCCAAAAGTACGAATCACATGATCATTTCTATAAATGCAGAAAAAGCTTTTGATAAGGTCCAACATTCATTTATGATAAGAACCTTGCAGAAAATTGGAATAGATTGAGCTAAAGACCATCTATTCCAATTTTCTGCAACCGTCTATGACAAACCAATAGCCAATATCATACCAAATGGCCAAAAATTGAAGGCCTTTACTTTAAAATCAGGCACAAGACAAGGATGTCCCTTATCATTGCTCCTATTTAATATAGTATTGGAAATGCGGGCCAGAGTAATTAGACAAGAGAAAGCAGTAAAAGGCGTAAAGATAGGAACAGAAGAAGTTAAATTATCATTTAACTAAAATTCATCTGGAGCGAGAAGAGACCTAGAATAGCAAGGACAGTTCTAAGCAGCAAAGGCAAGGTAGGAGGTATCACAATCCCTGACTGAAAGTTATACTACAAAGCAACTGTAGTAAAATCAACATGGTACTGGAACCAAAACAGAGTCAAAGATCAGTGGAATAGATTAGAAGATACAACCACAATTACAAACACACTCAACCACCTTATCTTTGATAAAGGGGCCAAACAGGTTCACTGGAAGAAGTACAGTCTCTTTAATAAATGGTGTTGTAAAAACTGGCTCTCCATTTGCCAAAAACTAAAACTAGACCCATGCTTATCACCATGTACTAAAATAAAAATCTAAATGGTATCAAAGATCTGAATATTAAAACAGAAACACTAAATCTATTGGAAGAGAAATTGGGTAAAAACCTTGAAGACATAGGAGTAGGTAGAAAATTCATGAACAGGACTCAAACTGCATGGGAAATACTTCCCAGAGTCAATAATTGGGATCACCTCTTATTAAAAAGTTTCTGCATGTCAAAAGAAATCTCTAGCATGGTGAAAAGAAAACCCACAAACTGGGAATAAGTCTTAGTGAACTGCCCCTCAAACAAAGGACTTCTGTCTAAAATATATAAAGAATTTTAAAAAATCAGACCCCCAAAATTCAAAGATCAAATCCAAAAAAGGGCATCTGAGATGAATAAACAATTTTCAGATGAAGAAATACAAACGGCAAATAAATACATGAAAAAATGTTCACCATCACTGGTCATTAGAGAAATGCAAATTAAAACCATACTGAGATTTCATCTCACTCCTGAAAGAATGGCCAAGATCAAGAAAACCACCAACAAAAAAATGCTGGAGAGGCTGTGGGGAAAAAGGAGCTCTCCTGCACTGTTGGTGGGAGTATAGACTAGTGCAACCATTGTGGAAGTCAGTCGGAGATTTCTCGGAAAGCGTGGATTGGAAACCCCATTTGACCTAGCTATTCTACTTCTAGGCATACTCCCAAAAGAACTGAAAGCATCATACCACAATGACATATGTGCACCCATGTTTATAGCAGCACAATTTGTAATTGCCAGATCTTGGATACAACCTAAGTGTCCATCAACTGAGGAATGGATAAAAAAGTTGTGGTACTTTTATACAATGGAGTACTACTCAACTATAAAGAATGATCACATTGAGATATTTATAAATAATTGGACACACCTTGAGACCATACTCATAAGTGAAATAAATCAAACTCACATGTATAATTACCGAATAGTTTCCCTAGTGTAAGAAATGATAAGAATACATAAAAGTATGTGGTAATTATGATTCCCAATCATATTGGTTTGAAGCCATAAAATGTTTTCACTAATTAATTGCAATGGTTTTAACCTGGGTTGTTTGATCTTTAGTATCAGTCATAGTACAAATAGCTATTATGAAGAAAACAACACATCATAAAAGCTAGTGCTGGTTTAATATCATCTTGTTTTGAAGTCCCACCAAGCTACTGTACATCTGTTTCCACTGGTTTTAACATGTTGTATCTTACTATATTTTACTATATGTGATAGTATAAACAAAATTTTTTATAGGCAAAGAGATAATATAGAAACTGTTGTTCATTTTCTGTTAACTGGTTCTAAATACCCTGCAATTCTTTCATTCTCTTGAATGGCTTTACACTGTCTTGATATGCTTGATGCTATAGTATACAAAGTTATGCTCAAATAATTCAAGGAAAGAGGCACTATGGTGACTACTATTATGTTAGATTATCTGGGGTGAAACACAATGATGCTTAAATTGTTTGGTTCTGACCTGTGTTGTTCTGTTACAATGTCCTCTTTTATCTCAATCTCCACCCTTTTTATTTTTAATTAATCTATTTTTTTTCAATTAAGGGAAAACTAAATTAAAAAATAGCAGGATGTATTATAGTAACTTTTTTGTTTTCTGTCGATGTCCGCTCCCGGCCGGCAGGAAAGACACACGACAAGGTCTGGCGGTGGTCAGGCTTTTCTTTATTCTCTCCTTATACAGTCTGCCCCGAAGCCTCTACCAGTCCGCTCTCCGCGGCTCCTTCCGTGCTTCAGTCTGCCCCGAAGCCTCTACCGGTCCGCTCCCCGCGGCTCCTTTTGTGCTTCAGTCTCTCTCTCTCTCTCTCTCTCGGGGGTGGAGGCACTGGCTATATATAGGATTAATAGCTAGGCAGACTACCCTGTGAGGCGGGAACTTAGTGGGGTGATAAGAAACAGGTGCCACACAGGCGGGCTCGATGAGAGGGGTAATCTAGCCCAGGCTTTTGTACTTTCCCACAGGCCTCGCAATCACCGCGTCTGATGACTTGACAGTGCCACGGCTCCCAACATCTCCCCCTATTTTATTTTAAATGATGGCTACGCGCATCGCAGCCCATCCTGGATAGAGTGCAGAGGCCTATGCCCCGAACTGAGGCCCACCGTAGGCCCTTAGCGTAGACCCTGGTCGGCCGTCCCAGGGTCCACCAAGGCCTTGAGGCCCTCGTCCTTTTTTCTAGGGCCAGGAATGAACCGGACGGAACCTGGTTGCACATAGGCATGCACTCATTTCTCTCCACGAATCCCCTCGGAGAGAAATTTATCTAACAATCCAGCGGCTTTCGAGCGGAACGGGGTAGGGCCTGGCTTAGGTTGAGTCGTGCTGGGGAGGCACGCTCTTACCCGTCATTGACTCACCCACCCTGCTACATGTTGTTGTCTAGGGAGGAGAATGTGGGAAGCCTGTCACTTTTAAACGCGGTCGTAGGCCATGCGAGCGAGCCATGCGTATACAAGGGTAGCACATAGGGGAGCAAGCCGTTCCAGGCCCCCAAAAAGGGATTGTCCTGCAGTTCTTTTAGGGCTCATCTTGTTGTTGGGTCTGCGGTTGGCCTCTGGTGGAACAGGCCTGATCTTCAGTCGAGGGACCTGTCGCGTCAACCTCTCTGGGACCCACATTGGTTCTCGTCCCGATTCCTGCGGAAAGACACAAACCGCGCCTCGGCTTCCTCTTTTGTATCTCTGCCCTCCTTGACGGACCCTTCTCGGGAGCTTCCTGACTGTGCCTGTTCAAACACCTCGCGTACTTCTACAAGTTCTTGAGAGCTCCCCCCGTAACTACCCTCACTCTTTAGGCACGTGTGTATCATTTCCCACAATGGACGAGCAGAGACTGAAGCTCTACCCTCCCGCTCTGCTAGGGAAAGGTCTCTGCCCAACTTTTCCCAGGAGGGCAGGTTTACATGCCCTGTAGGCAGAAACCAGGGAGCAAAGCTGTCAATCTCTGCAAGGAAATTTTCTAAAGTCTTACGCCCCACCTTGAGGTCCTTGGACTTTAGGAGTCTCCGAAGGACCAACACCAAGGCTGTGTATCTTTACTTGGCATGTTTCCCATTTTTAATATATCTTCTGTTATTTTTACTTCTATGTTTATGTTTTACACTCTTTTATTACCTTAAGTTCTGGTGTTATGTTTCATACTCACCGCGTGAGGCCCAAGAAACCCGCCACTTACGCGTGAGGTTGAGAGGAGTCTACAAACCCTGTAGGTGCGCGCCACCCAGGGCCCAGGCTTATCCTCTACTCACCTGTCCTGCAGCTGCAGCACTGTGTAGGAGAATGCAGTCCACCGCCGCGTCTCGGGGTTGATCAATCCCCGTGCGGGCCTCCAAATGTCGATGTCCGCTCCCGGCCGGCAGGAAAGACACACGACAAGGTCTGGCGGTAGTCAGGCTTTTCTTTATTCTCTCCTTATACAGTCTGCCCCGAAGCCTCTACCAGTCCGCTCTCCGCGGCTCCTTCCGTGCTTCAGTCTGCCCCGAAGCCTCTACCGGTCCGCTCCCCGCGGCTCCTTTTGTGCTTCAGTCTCTCTCTCTCTCTCTCTCTCGGGGGTGGAGGCACTGGCTATATATAGGATTAATAGCTAGGCAGACTACCCTGTGAGGCGGGAACTTAGTGGGGTGATAAGAAACAGGTGCCACACAGGCGGGCTCGATGAGAGGGGTAATCTAGCCCAGGCTTTTGTACTTTCCCACAGGCCTCGCAATCACCGCGTCTGATGACTTGACAGTGCCACGGCTCCCAACAGTTTTCCTATTAACCTGATTGGAACCCCAGTATTGCTCTCCCCATCTTGTTCTGTCTGATTTTACTATATTATATTTTGTTTGATAGTATCAAGTTTGAAGGTATAGGTAACCACTTTGAAGGCAATAAGATATACTATGATGCCCATTATGCCCACTAGCTGCCCACTGTTATCTTCTTTTGAAGTCCTGTAAGGTCTCCAGTGTAGGTTTTATTGGTCTTGTTCTGTACTGTTTTGATCAATTCTATTATACCTGATGATATAGGCAACTCTTTCTAAAAATAGCAAAAGGCAAAACGGTAACCTTTTTTGATCACCTGATATTCTATTTTTGCATTATGTATTATGACCATCCTTCTGTTCTGACTCTGTTTTGTTTAGTCACATTAGGTTTTATTCTCTTCAAAAAAAAGTCATAAGAACTATGGGAGTAAAAAATCCCAAAAAGTGTAATTGTCATTGTAAAAAAGAGAGGAAAGAAAGTGATCTAAATGATATAACTGCATGTATATTTAAATGTGTAGGATGGAAAACCATATTACTGAGATTTTGTTGGATCATTGAATAGAACTGTCTGCAATCCCACCTTGTGAATGTCCACTTTGTATGCTTTAATTTTATAATTTGGACAACTGTTTCTAAGATGACAATATGTAACCTATTAACTAGTGATTTCTTACTGTATATTTTTTTCTTGAAATTCTGTATTATTTCTACCCTTTTACTGCTTTGTTTTTTATTTCCTTTTTTTCTCTTTAAATAAAAAAAGTATTGCAAAATAAAGACATGAGAAATTGACCAAACAATTAAGCACAAACCATGCTTTTCAATGAACTGAGATTAATAGTGTATTTATTCTCTCTCATACACACACACACACACACACACACACACACTTCCCTTTTCTCCTTCCCCTCATTCCAGTTGTTCATTTCTTTTAAGCAATTTCTTCCCTTTTCACTTTCACTATATTATATATTTTGAAAAATATTTACTCTTTTAATTTTTTACACTAGGAAGCACCCATATGTGTGCGTGATTTATTTCAATTTATGAGTATTGTCTCAAGTTGCGTTCATTTACCTACAAAAGTCATGAGTTTATCTTTCTTTATAGATGAGTAGTACTCAATTGTAAAATAAATGTCACATCTGGCCTGGGGATGTAGCTCAGCAGAATAAATGTCTAGCTGGCAAGCACAAGGTCCTGAGTTCAATTCCATATATATATTCCATTCCTCAGTTGACGGGTATTCGCATTGTTTCCAAGATTTGATTATTACAATTTGTGCTACAATAACCATGGGTGCACATATATCATTGTGGTCAGACGTTTTTAATTCTTCTGAGAAAATAGCCAGAAGTAGTATAGCTAGGACCTCCAATACTAATTTTTGAGGAATCTCTTTACTAATTTCCATAGAGGTTTATCAATCTACTCTCTCACCAACAGTGGGAAATTGTTCCCTTTTCTTTTTTTTTTTTTTTATTTAAGAGGAAAAAGAGAAAAACACAAAACAAAACAAAGCAGTGTAAGGTTACACATAATACAGAACTACAATAAAAAAAATCACAGTAAGAAATCACCTGTTAATAGATTACATATTATCATCTTGGAAATAGTTGTTCAAATCACAGTATCAAAGAATACAAAGTAGACATTCAAACAGAGAGACTGCAAACAGCTGTGTTCAATGATCCAAAAACATTAATATAGTCAGCTATTTAACACCCCTAAACACACTTGCTGTTATATCCGTTAGAGCTCTTTTTTTTTTCCTCCCTCTCTTTTTTACAACAAAATTTACACATTTTGGATTTTATTACTCCTTAGTTCTTATTACTTTTTTGGGGGGGGAGAGAATAAAGTCAAATATGGCAAAACAAAGCTGTAAGTCAAAACCAAGGATAGACATAGCACATGATGTAGAACAGAGTACAAGGTTATTAACAATGGTTATCAACATTGTCTCTTGTTTCCTTAAAAGGAATTGTCTATCTCATTAGATATTATAAAGTTGGACAAAACAGTGGAGAACAAGACCAATAAAACTTAGGCATTGTGAACATTACAGGACTTCCAAAGGAGACAATAGTCAAACCAGAATGGGCATCTTTGTGAATCTTATTGCCTTCAATTTAGTTGCCTATACCCTCAGACTTGCTACTATCGCACAGAATGGAATAGAGTCTAATCAGTCAAAACAAGATAGTGGGAGTATTACAGGACTTCACAACAAGTTAATAGGAGATCGAAAAGAGTTACTATTATATATCCTAATTTTTTAAAATTTTTCCCTTAATTAAAATAAACATAAGAAATAGCTAAATAATTTTTTTAAAGAATAGTAGTTACCATAGTGTCTGTCTTTTTCCTTAAAATATTTGGATAAAACTTCATATACTATAGCTTCAAATATTTCCATATCAAGAAGCCCAGAATAAGGCCTTTCTAATTAATAAGTGAAAATTTTATAAGGCTTCAAGGCCACATAATGGGGAATCATGATTATCACATATTTTTATATATTTGAATCATTACTTACATTAGGGAAACTATTCGGTATTCATACATGCGAGATTGATTTATTTCACTTATGAGTATGGTCTCAAGCAGTGCCCATTTATTGATAAATATCTCAATGCGATTCCTTCTTTATAGCTGAATAATACTCCATTGTACAGAAATACCACGACTTTTTTATCCATTCCTCAGTTGATGGACACTTGGGTTGTTTCCAAGATCTGGCGATTACAAATTGTGCTGCTATAAACATAGGTGCACATATATCCCTGTGGTATGATGCTTTCAGTTCTTCTGGGAATATGCCTAGAAGTGGAATAGCTGGATTAAATGGGATTTCCAGTCCCAACTTTTTGAGAAAACTCCAGACAGACCTCCACAAAGGCTGTACCAGTCTACACTCCCACCAACAGTGCAGGAGAGTTCCTATTTCCCCACAGCCTCTCCAGCATTTGTTGTTGTTGGTTTTCTTGATCCTGGCCATTCTTTCAGGAGTGAGATGGTATCTCAGTGTGGTTTTAATTTGCATTTCTCTAATGACCAATGATGATGAGCATGTTTTCATGTATTTATTTGCCATTTGCATTTCTTCATCTGAGAATTGCGTATTCATCTCAGATGCCCATTTTTGGATTGGATCTTTGAATTTTGGAGGTCTGAATTTTTTTAATTCTTTATATGTTTTAGACAAGAGTCCCTTGTCTGAGAGAGAGTTCACTAAAATCTTTTCCCAGTTTGTGGGTTTTCTTTTCACTATGCTGGAGATTTCTTTTGACATGCAGAAACTTTTTAATAAGAAGTGGTCCCAGTTATTGATTCTGGGAAGTATTTCCCGTGCAGTTTGAGTCCTGTTCATGAATTCTCTACCTACTCCTATGTCTCCAAGGTTTCTACCCAATTTGTCTTCCAATAGATTTAGCGTTTCTGTTTTAATATTCAGATCTTTGACCCATTTAGATTTTAATTTAGTACATGGTGATAGACATGGGTCTAGCTTTAGTTTTCGGCAAATGGAGAGCCAGTTTTTCCAGCACCATTTATTAAAGAGACTGTCGTTCTTCCAGTGAACCTGCTTGGCTCCTTTATCAAAGATAAGGTGGTTGAGTGTGTTTGTAGTTGTGGTTGTATCTTCTAATTTATTCCATTGATCTTCAGCTCTGTTTTGATTCCAATACCATGTTGATTTTACTACTGTTGCTTCGTAGTATAATTTCAAGTCAGGGATTGTGATGCCTCCTGCTTTGTCTTTGCTGCTTAGAATTGCTTTTGCGATTCTAGGTCTCTTCTGGTTCCAGATGAAATTTAGGAGTGATTTCTCTAGATCTATAAGGTATGTTGATGGTATTTCTATTGGGATTGCGTTGAATCTGTATAAGAGTTTTGGGAGAATGGCCATCTTCACAATGTTTGTTCTTCCTATCCATGAGCAAGGGATGTCTTTCCATTTTCTGAGATCATTTTCAATTTCCTTTTTCAGTGTATTATAGTTTTCACTGTATAAGTCTTTCACTTCTTTCGTAAGAGTAATTCCTAAATATTTCATTTTTTTGCTTGCTAATGTGAATAGTCCAGTTTCCCTTATTTCCCTCTCTGTGATTTTGTTGTTTGTGTATAGGAATGCTATTGATTTCTGAGTATTGATTTTGTATCCAGCCACATTACTGAATTTATTTATTGTATCTAAGAGTATTTCAATGGAGCTTAGGGGGTCTTCTATATAGAGTATCATGTCATCTGCAAACAATGACAACTTAACTTCTTCTTTTCCTATCTTTACCCCTTTTATTTCTCTTTCTTGCCTAATTGCTCTGGCTAGTACTTCCAGTACTATATTAAATAGGAGTGGTGATAAAGGACACCCTTGTCTTGTGCCTGATTTTAAAGTAAAGGCTTTCAGTTTTTGGCCATTTAGTATGATGCTGGCTGTTGGTTTGTCATAAATGGCCTTTATTATATTGAGGTAAAGACCATCTATTCCAATTTTCTGTAGAGTTTTTATCATGAATAAATGTTGGACCTTATCGAAGGCTTTTTCTGCATCTATAGAAATGATCATGTGATTCTTATTTTTGGCTTTATTGATATGGTGGATTACATTTATTGATTTGCGTATGTTGAACCATCCTTGCATTCCTGGGATGAATCCCACTTGGTCCTGGTGTATAATCTTCTTGATGATTTGCTGGATCCTATTTGCCAATATTTTATTGAGGATTTTTGCATCTGTGTTCATTAGGGAGATGGGTCTATAGTTCTCTTTTTTAGTTGGGTCTTTCTCAGGTTTTGGTACTAGAGTGATATTTGCTTCCAGGAATGACTTAGGAAGGATTGCTTCCCTTTCAATTTCATTGAATAGTTTGAGGAGTGTCGGCATTAGGTCTTCTTTGTATTTCTTGTAGAATTCTGCAGTGAATCCATCTGGGCCTGGGCTCTTCTTGGTGGGTAAGGACTTAATTACATTTTCAATTTCAGTAACCGAGATTT